GGTCTACCATATCAAACTTTTCTAAAATTTTATTCATCTCCTTAACTTCTTTCTTGTTTATTTTGTGGTTAGATTTATTTAGGTCTGAGAGGAAGAGGTTGAGGTCCTCCACTAGTATGGTTTTGTTGTCTATTTCTTTCTGTAATTCCTTTAACTTCCCTAAGAATTTGGGTGCTATACTACTTGGTGTGTATATGTTTAGTAATGATATTATTTCTTTGTCCATGGTGCCTTTTAACAAGATGTAGTTTCCTTCTTTATCTCTTTTAATCAGATCTGTTTTTGCTTTTGCTTTGTCTGAGATAAGGATTGCTACCCCTGCTTTTTTTACTTCAGCTGAAGCATAATGTATTCTGCTCCAGCCTTTACCTTTACTCTGTGTGTATCCCTCTGCTTCAATGTGTTTCTTGTAAACAACATATTACGATAAATCATATAGGATTATGGTTTTTAATGCGCTCTGCTATCTGCTTCCATTTTATGGGAGAGTTCATCCCATTCACATTCACAGTTATGATTACTATCTGTTTCTTTCTCCATCCTATTCCCCTCCCCCCCTTTATGCTTTTCTCTCTTCTTTCTCCTTTTCCCTCCCAACTGGAGTTTTGCTTTTGACCACTGCCTCCCTCAACCCGCTCTCCCTTCTATCAGCTCCTTCCCTTTTCTTCTCCTTTTCCTTGCTACTTCTTCCCTCCCTTCTATCTACCCCCTTACTTTTCTTTCCCCTTTCCCTTCCTACTTCCTATAGGGTAAATTAGGTTTCTGTACCTGAACTGATTATGTCATTCTCTCTTTGAGCCAAATGTGATGAGAGTAAGGTTCAAACAATGCCTGTTCCCCTCCTTTCTTTCCTTCTACTGTATTTGGTTTTTGTGCCTTTTCATGTGATGTAATTTATCCTTTTCTGCTTCCTCCTTTTCCTCTTCTCACAGTACAGTCTCTTTTCACCGTGTAATTAGATTTTTTATCATTATATCAAAGTCAAATTATACCTACACCCTCTATCTATGTATGCCCCTTTTAAATGTTCTCAAGAATTACAAGTATTATCTTCCCTTGTAGGGATGTAAACATTTTGTCCTTATTGAATAACGTTTTTTTTCTTTCTTGTTTATCTTTTTATGCCTCTCTTTGAGTCTCCTGGTTCTGCTCACTTCACTCAGCATCAGTCCTTAACAAGTCTTTCCAGGTTTTTCTTGTTTTGTTTTTAGGCAATTGGGGTTAAGTGACTTGCCCAGGGTCACACAGCTAGTAAGTATCAAGTGTTTGGTCTGAGGCCTGATTTGAACTCAGGTTCTCCTGACTTCAGGGCCAGTGCTCTATCCATTGCACTACCTAGCTGCTCCTTTCCAGGTTTTTCTGAAGTCTACCTCCTCATCATTTTTCACAGCACAATAGTATTCTATTACATTCATATACTACAACTTATTTAGCCATTCCACAATTAATGGGCATCCCCTCAATTTCCAATTCTTTGCCACCACAAAAAGAGCTGCTATAAATATTTTTGTACATGTGGGTCCTTTTCCCATTTATATGATCTCTTTGGGATACAGCCCTAGAAGTGCTACTGCTGGGTCAAAGGGTATGCACATTTTTATAGTTCCAACTTGCTCTCCAAAATGGTTAGATCATTTCACAACTCCACCAACAATGCATTAGTGTTCCAATTTTCCCACATCTTCTCCAACAGTTATCATTTTCCTGTTTTGTCATGTTGGCCAATCTGATAGGTGTGATGTGGTGCATCAGAGTTGTTTTGATTTGCATTTCTCTAATCAATAGTAATTTAGAGTATTTTTTCACATGGTTATAGATGGCTTTAATTTCTTCATCTGAAAACTGTTGTGTTCATATCTTTGACCATTTGTGAATTGGGGAATGACTTGTATTCTTATAAATTTGACTTAGTTCTATATATGTTTTAGAAATGAGGCCATTATCAGGGATACTGTTTGTAAAAATTCTTTCCCAGTTTTCTGCTTCTCTCCTAATCTTGATTGCATTGGCTTTGTTTGTGCAAAAACTTTTCAATTTGATATAATCAAAATTATCCATTTTGTATTTCATAATGTTCTCTATCTCCTGTCTGGTCATAAATTCTTTTGTTCTTCATGAACCTATGACAGGTGAAGTATTCCCTGTTCCCCCAGTTTCTTTATAGTATTAGCCTCATGTACCCATTTTGACTTTATTCTGGTATGTGGTGTAAGATTTTGGTCTATGCCTAGTTTCTGCCATGCTCTTTTCCAGTTTTCCCAGCAATTTTTGTCAAATGGTGAGTTCTTATCCCAGAAGCTAGGGTCTTTGGGTTTATCAAATAGTAGAGTACTATAGTCATTGACTACTGTGTCTTGCATACCTAACCTATTCCACTGATCCACCACTTTATTTCTTAATCAGTACCAAGTAGTTTTGATGATTTATGCTTTATGATCCAATTTAAGATCTAGAACAGCTAGGCCACCTTCTGTTGCATTTCTTTTCATTAGTTCCCTTGATATTCTGGACCTTTTGTTATTCCAGCCAATTATATTTTTTTAAGGACTTGTTTTCTACAGTCAATTTTTATCCTTCCTTTCTGAGCTATTGATTCTGTCTTGCATACTTCTTATTTCTTTTCCCAGTTTTTCTTCTGCTTCTCTTATTTGACTTTTAAAATCCTTTTAGAGCTCTTCCAAGAAGGCTTTTTGGGCTTGAGACCAGTTCATATTCCTCTTTGAGGTTTCGGATGTGGGTGTGTTAACAATGTTGTCGTCTTCTGAATTTGTGTTTTGATCTTCCCTGTTCCCATGGTAAGAATCTGTGGTCATTGACCATTTCTGCTTTTTGCTCATGGTATTTACCTATTTCCTGGCATTTAAAGTTGAGCTCTCCTGCAGAAGCACAGGGGACCAGAGGGAGATGGACCTTTCCCCTTAATCCCCCAAGCTTCCTGGGCTACAAGACTTCTGCACCTTGTCTTTCAGCTGGTTTAGTTGTTCCAGGGTTTTTCCTGGGTAGATATTTTCTGAGTTTTTAGAGGTCAGCAAGGGAGGGTGAGAGCGACTTCTTCTTACTCTACTGTCTTGGCTCCCAGAAGTCCTCCCCTCAGTGTTTAAAAGATGTAAACCATCATCTGCCTGACTTGCTTTGTGACCTGATCACATTTTACCTTGAATTATGCTTGATTTGAAGACTTATAAGTGAAGAGGAATGCGATGCATACTTCTAGAGTACCCATTCCACTTCAAAATACGTCTATTACATTTTCCTTTCTGCTAGGTTGAAATATCTATCTATCTATCTCTCTATCTCTCTATCTCTCTATCTATCTATCTATCTATCTATCTATCTATCTATCTATCTGTCTATCTATATTTGTATATGTATATACATATATACACATATGTGCACACATTGTGTGTGTGTGTGTGTGTGTGTGTGTGTGTGTGTGTAAAGAGAGAGAGGAAGAAATTTGTGTTCATGTACCAACCTCCTTCTGTGTTGTTGTTTATATTAAGTTCAGAACAACAAAATTTAAATGAGGCAATGGAGGAAGGGAGAGATTTACCTTACACCATGTCTTCATTTTTCTGTCTTCAACTTTCCCCTACTCCTTGCTTCTAATTCTGCCGACTGGGTAAGCAGAACACGTCTGGGCCCTGTTTGATGTCACAACCCTTAACATACTCAAAGATACCTGTTATGTCTGCTATTTGTCAAGAGATAACTGTTTCAAATGAAATAGCAGAATTCAAGTCAAATCAACCAGCATCTGTTAGGAGCTTATTGTGTGCCTGGTACTGGGGATACCCTCAAGGTGCTTACATTCTAATGAAGGAAGACTGCACATAAAAGGAAGCTGAAAAGGGGAGGGAGGAGAAAGAGATGACATTACTAGGCTGGGGGGCTTCAGAGGACTACCTGGACAGGAATGAAGATGTGCAGGCCTGGCCTCCTCCTTAAAATGGAGGTTCTGGGAAAAACTAATTAGAAGGAAAAGCTGCAGGGGTGGAGTGAGCTTTCTGAGTGAAGTGGTTTCTCAGGGCATTGTAGAGACAGATGGGAGAATTAGGAGTGCTTCTTGGAGAGAACTCTGCAAGTGATTGTATTATGGGGTGAGGAAGGAGTGAAAGACAGCTCAAGGTTTAAGCAGGGCTAACAGGAAGAATGTTTATCATATTCCTAGGAACTTTCGGTCCTGTTAATTTCCACTGCTACTCAGCTGATTCAGGGATTTATGCACTTACAGCTGTTGTATGGATCTTCTAAACTTCCTTGCCACCAGTCTTCTTTCATCTCTCTTAATTACAATGCATTTCCTCTGTTAATTATTTCCTATTTATCTCGTATGTAACTTGTTCTGTATATATTTGTTTGCATGTTGTTTCTCCTATTAGAATGTGGACTCCTTGAGAACAGGAACTGTCTTTTGCCTCTTTTTTATATCCCTAGTGCTTAGCACAGTGCCTGGCACATAGTAGATGCTTAATAAATGTTTATTAATTGATTTGTGGATTCTTAGAAACCATGGCTTTTTTGCTCTAAATCTTTCAAAAGTCCAACATTTAAGGACTTTAATTTTTTGATATCCAAACCCTTAATGTTAGGTGGGGTTGAAGAATTTGCATGACAAAAGAGCACGACCTGACTTGGCTTTGATTATTTGTATACATATTACATTCTCCTTTCTACTACCCTCATCCATTTAGAATGTAATCTTCTTGAAGGTAGGGAAAATGTGTCTGTGTCTAGCACAGCTACTTGCACACACTAAGTAGATGCTTGATAAATATTCGTGGAGTCTTGCAGTTCTGAAACCCCAGGGCTTTACTGTGTGTAACACTGAACAAATGCCACAAATAATTAGTTATTCATAATGTGTCTTCTTTTGTTATAATATCTTTTGGATTTGATAGTTTGTTTTTATTTTTTAGGGACACAAACTGTCATTCTTTGGGTACCATGTGCCTTGTGAAAAGTATTGTTACAGTTTCCCTTTCTCCTTTTTCTTACAGTTTTGCATTTGGCTCGTTGATATCTGCTGTTGACCCAGTAGCTACTATTGCTATTTTCAATGCACTTAATGTGGATCCAGTTCTTAACATGTTAGTTTTTGGAGAAAGCATTCTCAATGATGCAGTCTCTATTGTTCTGACCAAGTAAGTTTGTATATGTATAGGAGAAAAACTAAGGTTATTGAACTAAAAAGTATCTGAAACCAAACAGCTAGTATTTCCAAGTCATTATATTAAATGTATAGTTGCCTTATAGGATTGTTTGCTTAGTAGCATCTTGGCTTATTATTGTAATCAGCTTTAGAGTTAACAGATCCTACAAAAGGAAGGTGTTAAAAATAAACCTCCAGGGGCAGCTAGATGGCAGTGCACAGAGCTCCAGCCTTGGAGTCAGAAGGACCTGAGTTCAAATTTGACCTCAGACATTTGACACAACTAGCTGTGTGACCCTGGGCAAGTCACTTAACTCTCATTGCCTCACCAAAAAGCAAAAAATAAAATAAACCTCCAATTTCCAGTGATACTCATGAGAAAAGCAATCTTTTGAGTAGAATGATACAACTTTGCATTAGCTATAGCAGTTCATAGGGCCATGTCTAGTCTATTGAATATGACTCATAAAATTTGCTGTAGGAGAAATGGAGTTTTCAGTAAAAGGAAATGAATTGTGGATCATTTCAAATTTACTCCCCTAATACTGGTTTGCTCATTTTAGCTGAAGGTTAGCACATTATGGAGAAAAGAACACTGGATTGGGAGTTGAGTACCTAAATTCAGGGCTCTGCTTTGCCACTAACTTGCTGTATGGTTAAAAGCAAATCCCTTAACCTCTTTGGTCCACAATTTTTTTTTAATCTGTAAAATGAGGGAGGAGTGGTGTTGGTACTGATGTTGGACTTGACCTCCAAGTTCCCTTCCATCTCCAAGATATAATGGTATAAAATATAATTTGCTTCATCTTGCTCTGTCTGGTGTGTGTGTAAAGGAGAGCAAAAGCAAAGATCAGGAAGCTCTTCTTCCTTTTCTCCTCCTTTTAGGAAATGGAATTCTAGGCAATTAAGGCTAATTAAATTATAGAAGTTTCAAAGGCCTTTTGGAAGCTAAGATACAAGTGCTGTTTCATTGATTAACTTTGACTTGTTTCAAAGGCTCTTCCAACAAAGTTGCAGTGTATTCCCCTGGTTTTGAGGGAGTATGCTCATTTGCTTATTTTTAAGAGGGACATTTCATAAAATATCAGTCTGGCAAGTTATCTTATTTAGCTTCATAGAAAGCTGAATTTTGGCATGAAATGTTGTTGGGCGTTTTTTCCCTCATAACCAGCAATGAATTGCCAGTATTTGTTTCTTTTGCATTACTTTAGTTTTTCAGTTCTTCAAGGGCTTTTATATTAACCTTCATTAAATTCCTTTCAATTTTGATTTTTTTCTATGAAGGTTCATTCTTTTTAACTTTTACCACTGAATCTATTGATTCTCTCCAGCCAAAGCCTAATTTAAGCACAATGGAATGAGTTTTGTTCCAGACTTGTCATTTTTTTCTCTAAGCTCTGAAAATCCTAATATTATTAAATAAAATATGAGAAAATACTGAATCAGAAAGGGTAAGGGAATGGCCAGTCCAAGTGAATTTGGGCCATACAGGATTGTATTTGTATCAAGAAAGGAGACATGAGCTCTAGTCCTGGGACCGTCTGTAATTCCTTTTTTGATCTTAGGCAAGTTACCTGCCTGTTTTGAGCTTTAGTTTCCTTCCTTGTAAAGTGATAGTGTTGAACTAGACTTCTAATGCTGCTTTTAGCTCTGACCCCCTTTTTTAAAAGGACCTTTTTAACTGTAACACTGTAATGCAGAACATTATTTTACCATTTAGGTAGTAGGGCCCTTTAAGCCATGGAAAGCAGAAATTACTGCTTAATCTTGCCCCCAGACCTCTTTCCTCCTAAATTTAAACAATAGCGAAATGTACTCTTGCATAGCTCAGCACAGCCCATGTCTCCAACGCAAATGGATAAGAAAGCTTGCAATATAATTGCTTTAGGTAATTATGTTTATACCAGAGACCAGGACACCTGGTCTGGTTTGTGTGATCTCTGACCTGTAATGATGGGGTGCTCAGGTGCTTGTGCTTATACTTGTGCCCCAACTTCTCCCTAGTCTCAGAAACGCTGTCTCTGACCAAGGACATTGTGCCTAGCAGTTATTCATGCATGGGCCTCAGCATGACCCTTATCTCTCTCCCTGGTACAGCTACACAGAGCTGGGCTGCTCAGGCCCCAGCCCTCAGATCATGTCTCTGGAAGCCTCCCAATTCCTTAGTAAGTTCCTGTCTTGTGAGAAAGCTTTCCGTTGTTGCAGAGCATTCTCTCATCAAGACAGAGGGAGAGGGGTGTCCTTGGCCAGCCCAAGGACTCTTCCTCCTGCCAGACTCCGAAGATCCATCCCCCTCCCTGTCTGGTATACTCTCTGTACTTTCCCACCCAAAGCCCCCAAAGACACCTGCACCTTTGGATTACCTCATCAGTGTTCCTGGCATTTCTTTCCCGTGCTCTTTTCCATATAAACCCTAGCTCAACCCCTGATCGGGGCTGCTTGATTTGGGTGTGCATACCCCTTGCAGCCGAGCTCTAATAAATCCACATCTTAAATTACGTTTGGGTCTTGCTCGCTGATTTCTTGGTACAACAACACGAGCTGTCCTAAAGTACCTTCTAGCCCTGCCATTCTGTGAGGCTCTGAAATTCTGCTTTAAAGTGTTATTATAGATTTTTTTCCCTCCATCAATGCCTGGGGAAAGTACTTTTCTAATTTCTTTCTTTTTTTTTCCCATTTCCTTTGAATTGCTAGCACAGCTGAAGGCTTGACAAGAAAAAATATGTCCGATGTCAGTGGGTGGCAGACTTTTCTACAAGCCCTTGGTTACTTCCTTAAGATGTTCTTTGGCTCGGCTGCACTCGGCACTCTAACAGGGCTAATTTCTGCACTAATATCCTTTGAAAGCAATATATTGCACAATTAGATAAATTTTTCCCCTTCATTTTCATTTCTTTAGCCATCTTTTAATGTTTCTGAAGTGTGCCTTTTTTTAAATTAAGGTTTTGTGTAAGGGATAATTTTGGTATGCTTTTATTTGGTTTTACTAATATTTAAATTAATAACTGAGCTTTTAAAAATTTGTCCCCTAAAGGTACATTGGTTCAAAATTCAGCTCTGAGGTTTCCTTGAAACATAACTGTGGGAGAGTCACTTTACTTTTCTGAGCCTTAATTTCCTCATCTATAAAATGGGGAAAATAATACTTGTACTACTTACAACGTAGAGTTGTGAGCATCAAATGAGACAACAGATGTAAAGTACTTTGCAAATCACAAATTGATATATAAAAGGTAGTATTATAGTTGTTAAAACATAATTAGGTTGCAATTTTATAAATTATGTAATTCTGGTGAAATAGGATGTGTCTTCTAAAGTCCCAATTCTTGTTAATTACATTTTGGACATAATTAATGTATCCCAGTTTTCATGTCCATGAAAAAGAAAATTAAATTTATTTGAAAATGTCAACCCCCTCAAAAGTTACCACATTGGAAATACTGTCTCATTTTGGAACTCAAAAATTTAAAAAAATGAATGTTAAAAATAAATAGTAAATGTATTTTTTTAAAAAAAAAAAGAAATATTGTCTTCTAGGCTATGAAAATGGGTTTGTAAAATAAATTACATCTAAACTGTTTTTGTTAATTTGGTTAAAAAACAGCCTGTAAATCTTCTACCCAGTTAGGGAGAGATGTTTGTTTACAAAAGATACTTTTTATCTTTTTGTTGCTTTACATAAAGCCTATTGTATCTAAAATAGAATCAATTGTCATTCCATTTCTAGGCCTGCCTCATGCCATGATGAGGCATGCTACCTAGGCCATGTTGTGAGACAATTTGTTTTGTAGTTGAAACAGACTGTCTTTTTCATCAAGGATAACTGCCTACAGTTTTTCTGTGAACTTGTAATTTTTCAAAAAATCTAGTGGCTTTTTACATTGTCTGGATTTATTTTAGTATTTTAAGAATTTGTCATTTTGTTGGTGTGGGTAGGCAATGTAGATCAGAGCTCTTGTCTGACTTGGGACCAGTAGAAGTAGGTGGATAAAAGGAAAGTTTTTCCAATTTCCTGTTCTCCTTTTCACATCATTTTTGATAGAAAACTAAATTTGCTTTAGAGCTAAGTAATCGGATACCAGGAGATAGAGAAAATCCAGTGTGTGTGTGTGTGTGTGTGTGTGTGTGTGTAAGAGACAGACACAGAAAAAGAGAAAAACAGAAATGGAGACAGAAAGAGAGAAGTAGTGAGGGAGAGAAAAGAAAGAGATGTTTATGACTAGGGGCTAGGGAGTATTTTAATGTAGAAGAGCTCCATCTCCATCAGAGAGGGTTAGTTCTAGAGATTCCCCAAGAATAAGGAGAAAAGCCACAGCTGGGTACTAGACTATGAATTATGTGAGAGAAACAGAATGTAATAGAAAGAACACTGGATTGGGGATCAGTTGATACCCTCTGCTGCCCCTTAACCCTTCAGAGCCTCAGTTTCTTTATTTGTAAGGTATGGATAATAATGCCTGCCTCACTTATTTCACAAGATTGTCACAAGTTTCAAACGAGATAATGCAAATAAAGCAATTTGTAAACTGTAAAGCACTAAAATAAATATGATTGTTATTATTGCTATTATAAAATGTTTTCAGAACAAGAGCTTATTGCCTATTAGAGTTACTCTCCCTGTCAAAATCAAAAGACTATAATCATAAAGCCATATAAATACTGCAAGGTTTACTTATGTATCATTTGATCCATACAACCACTCTTTGAGGTAGGCTGGATCGACATTATTATCCCCTATTTTACAGGTGAGGAAATTTAGGCCAACTAGTATAATACTTCCCGGAATCGTGACTGTCCTCTAATTAAGTGGTTATTCAGCCTCCAGTTAAAGACCTGTAGAACTGAACTCTTAAAGCACTGAAATGGGAGAGTCAGGAAAAGGCCTTTGAGCTTTCAAGCTGCAGCCCAGGCTCTGTGGGTTATTGTAGCACATGGGAGATAGAATCAGCAGCCCAGGAATAGTACAGGTATCCTGAAGCTCTCATTTACTGCATTGACTGTCGTGATTCTAGTCATGTTCCCATCTCTTATTTTAAAAAGGAGAAAACTCAAAATAGAGACATTAAATGACTTGTATAAAATGTCACACAGGTAATAGGGAATTTGAATCCAGTCTTCTGATTCCATGTCTTGATTTCCATTGTTTGAATTCAGTCTGATTTTGTGGTTACTTTACTGGTTTTCTTTTTCTTTTTCTTTTCTTTTCTTTTTTTTTTGGTTAGGCAGTTGGGGTTAAGTGACTTGCCCAGGGTCACACAGCTAGTAAGTGTCAAGTCTTTGGTCTGAGGCTGGATTTGAACTCAGGTCCTCCTGACTTCAGTGCCGGTGCTCTATCCACTACGCCACCTAGCTGCCCCTCTTTTTCTTTTTTTTAAAAGAATTCAAAGACCTGAGTGTTTTGTATATAGTATTCTCTACATTGCTTTCTCTAACATTTAATTTCCTTCCAAAGTTAAATTAAATGATTGTCAGTTATTTATTTTCAGTTGTAACCTAGGGCTATTTTGAAACCTTCAATATCTAGTTATTGCTCAGAGGACAAAAACAGCAGTTTTACACCTTTTCTGAAATTGTAATACATTGTTCTTGGGTTCTTTTTCCATAACGTTTGGTGCTTCAAGTATTAAAGCATATTGATTTAAGGAAGACACCTTCCTTGGAGTTTGGGATGATGATTATCTTTGCATATCTTCCTTATGGGCTTGCAGAAGGCATCTCCCTCTCAGGTAGGTTTTAGAATGAATGAAAATTAAGTGATAAGGATGTGCTGGCTCCTTCTCAGTAGGATATGAACTTTGAGTTGACTATCCAGGGGGTGTTAGAGTAGAACTATCATCCTTATAGCTAAATGCTGATAATAAAATGCTTGTTCAGGGTTTGGGGCACAGTTGGGAGCTTTGCGCAAGGCTAATAAAGGAATTGAACCTGAGAACTGGAACTACATATTTATCTCAGCAGGAAAGATATATTAGAGACCATCTGTGGTTGTGACCTGAGGTTCAAAGAGTTTAATTGACTTGCTTATGATCATATAGTCAGTGAAGAAGCATTAAGTAAGCTCTTACTATGTGCCTGGACAGCAGTGTACTAAGTGATACAAAGATGAAAGTGAGACCTTGCCACCACTGAGGGTTTAGTAGTGAGAGAGGGCTGGGATTCAAAACTAAAGTTTTGGACTCCAAAATTTGAGTCCAAATAATTTTAGAAGTTTTAAGAATTTCAACCTGGGAACCTAGTGTCTGTAGCTCTATCTGTATTATTCTCTTATCTGACATTTTGCCTTTCTCATTAGTATTGGTGGCAGGTACAACAAAATACAGTTTTATCTATTAAGTACCTACTTGGACTAGAGCCCTCGGGAAGACACAGTTTTTCTGTCTTCGTGGAGCACAGATAAAATAACACAAATATTACTTTATATGCACTTCAGAGAAGTGTCAAAGTGCTATGTATTTTGTGTTTTGTCACTTTGTGGGGCAGTTTAATGTTGTGGAAAAAGCACTAACTAGGCTTAGGATTTAGAGGATCTGGGCCCAAGTTCTGCTTAGACACTAATCAACTATGTCACCATGAGCAATTTACTGAATATTTCTAGGGTTTAACTTCCTCATCTACCTTGCAGGGTTGTAAGGAAAGCACAGTAGAAATGTTAAGTTCCATATATGTATGAAGGGTGTTTTATTATAATTACCAGACATTTGAAATTTTTTAAAATTTCTGTTCCATGATGATTTCTCATGGGCCCCATTTAGATAATAATGAACAGATTTCTGTCTTTCAACAACTTACTTTCTATAGACGGCCAGAAAATTGTCTCCTATGTGTTGAGCATTGTACTTTGAGAAGCTTGCTGTCTAATAACATGCCTAGATAGCATATATGATTTTGTAAGTTCCTTAGAGAAACACAAGAAGAGTAAATACTGATGGGATGGTCATATGGTTTCTTTTTGGGTAGCTAGGTGGTCCAGTGGTTAGGCCTGAAGTCAGGAAGACTTGAGTTCAATACCAGTCTTAGACATTTACTAGCTATATTATTCTGGGCATGTCACTTAACCTGTGTTTGCCTTTGTTTCCATATCTATAAAATGGGGCTAATGGTAGCACCTACCTCCCAGGATAATAGTGAAGATGAAATGAGATATTTGTAAAAGTGCTTAGTCTGGCTCAATGCCTTGCCCATATTAAGTGCCATATAAATGTTAGCTATCATCATCATCATTATTATTACAAGGGAAGAAATAAAAGTCATTTAGTCATTTTAGTGAAGTGGGGAACTGTTTATAAATTTCATATTTTAACCTCATGCAGGATTGTAAAACTTCTAATATTTTTCATTCTAAGTTTCTCCCCTTCTCCCTTGTCCTTCCTAGATTTTAGTATCTAAGTAAACTTTGCCCCTCAAATGTTGAAGAACAATATATTTCATCTTATTTTTACCTCTATTCCTCGCCATCATCATCATTATCATCAATAGGTGTTTATTAAACTTTTGCTTTATTCAGGGTACTGGGCTAAATGCTAAAGGTACCAAAAAAGGTAAAAGCATGGTTCCTTCTGAGCAATTTTATTTTTTGCTCCTAGATGAGCATTGACTACTTGATGGAAAATATATATTAAATACATCAGTGTGGATTTTCTGATAGTGACCTGGGAGTTCATTCCTTGGCTTTTCTTGAGTCAGAACAACAATGCTTTCTGATTTCTTATGGGATTCATGGATTTGGAGACCTGAGCGATACAGGAATTGTAGCTAACATTTCTGTAGTAACTTGGAAGTTTATAAAATGCTATTTTCAAAACAGCCCCATGGGTTAAATAGTGCAGCAATGATTATCTGCATTTAATGTGTGAGGAAACTGAGGCTCAGAGATATGAAATGACTTTTTCATACTCACAGAGCTAGTAAATGGCAGAACTGGGACTTAAACCCAGGTCTCTTGGCTCCCAAGTTCAATATACTTCCATGATCTCTAATACAAGCAAAAGAATAGGAGGCATTTGACTTGGAGGATAGGGCACTGGACATGGAATCAGGAAACCTTGGGGTTGCCTCAGACACTTTTTAGTTGTGTGACCCTAGTCAGGTCACTCCATTTTTTTGGTGCCTCAGTTTTCTCATCTGTAAAAAATGATAGAATTGGATTTAGTGGCCTTGAAAGCCCCTGCCAGCTCTAAATCAGTGATCCTCTGTTTACAGGCAGGAAATAAAATCCACCAGACACTGAAATATGAAACATGTTAAATGTATTACAGTGGGAAAAGCATAGAAGTGGCAGTCAGAAGATCTAGGTTTGAGTCTTAATTTTAACACTCAATAGCTTTGTAAATATATACAAGTCAGAACCCTTGTGCATATTTTACTTATTAAACTGAGTGGCCTTTTCTCAGCCTCACTCTATTTGACATCTCTCCAGCTTTTGACAGTTAAAAAAATTATTTTAACATGCTTTTTCTTTAAATTTTAAGTTCCAAATTCTTTCTATCCCTCCATCCCCTCCTCCACCCACTGAGAAGGTAAGCAATATATCAATTATACATGTAAAAGCATACAAGACATTCCATATTAGCCATATTACTCCCTCAAAAAAAGCGAAAGTAAAGAAAATGAGAAAATTTTACTTCATTTTGTACTCAGAGTTCATCAGTTTTCTCTCTGGAGGTAGATTGCGTTCTCTCTCCCTCCCTCTCCCTCTCCCTCCCTCTCTCTCCCTCTCTCTCCCTCTCTCTCCCTCTCCCCCTCTTCCTCTCCCTCTCCCTCTCCCTCTCCCTCTCCCTCTCCCTCTCTCTCTCTTGTTAAGTGATTTGCTCAGGGTCACACAGCTGCTTAGTGTCTAGTGTCTGAGGTCAGATTTGACCTCAAGTCCTCCTGATTCCAGGGCTGGTGCTCTATCCACTGAACCACCTAGCTGCCCCCCGATTGCATTTTTCATCTTGAATCCTTCATAATTGTCTACATCATTGTATTGATTAGAGTTGATAAGTCTTTCACAGTTGATCATCATTACAATATTGCTGTTACTGTGTACAGTGATCTCCTGGTTCTGCTCACTTAATTTTGTATCAATTCATATAAGTCTTCTCAGGTTTTTCTGAAACCATTCCCCTCATCATTTCTTATAGCAGAATAGCATTCTATCACAATCATATACCAAAACTTGTTCAGCCATTCCCCAATTGATGGGCATCCCCCCAATTTTCAGTTGTTTGCCACCATAAAAAGAGTTGCTAGAAATATTTTTTTACATGTAGGTTTTTTTCCTTTTTCTTTGATCTCTAGGCTACAGACCTAGTAATGCTATTGCTGGGTCAAAGGGTTTGCACAGTTTTATAGCCCTTTGGATTGTGTTCTAAATCATTCTTTAAAATGGTTGGACCATTTACTCCACCAACAGTTCATTAGTGTCCCTATTTTCCCATATTCTGTCCTGCATTTGTTGTTTCTGATCGAAGTGAGGTAATACTTCAGAGTTATTTTAATTTGCATTTCTCTAATCAAGTGATTTGTTTACCTTGAATAATATTTTTTTCTAATTACATGTGAGAGCAATTTTTAATGTCCTTTTAAAAAAAACTTTGAGTTCCAAATTCTCTCCTTTCTCTCTATTTCCCCCTCCCTGAGATGTCAAGCAATTTAATATAAGTTATACATGTAAAGTCATGTAAAACGTATTTCCATATATTTGTCATGTTGTGAAAGAAAACACAGATAAAAAAACCCATGAAAAAAATGAAGTGAAAAATAGTATGCTTCAATCTGCGTTCAGACTCCATCAGTTCTTTCCCTGGAGGAGTTCTTTCATCACAGGTACTTTGGAGTTGTCTTGAGCCATTATATTGCTGAGAATAGCTAAAAGTCATTCACAGTTGATCATCGTACAATATTGCTATTACTATGTGTACAGTGTTCTCCTGCTTCTGCTCATTTCAGTTTGTTTTAGTTTATGTAAGTCTTTATAGGTTTTTCTGAGAGTGTTTTGCTCATTATTTCTTACAGTACAATAGTATTCCATCATAATCATATACTACAACTTGCTCAGCCACTCCCTAATTGATGAGCATCCCTTCAATTTCCAGTTCTTTGCTGCCACAACTCAGAGTCATCTTAAACCATTGACTCTCCCTAATTATTGCTCTGACTTATCAAGTCTTGTTGATTCTGTATGTCTTTGCCACAACCAGCAAACTAGTTCAGATACTGAATGAAGTTTGCCTGGGCTATTGCAATAGCCTCTTAATTGATCTCCCAGCTTCCAGTCCCAACCTTGCCTCTCCAATCCATCCTCCACAGAGATGCCCAAATAATCTTCCTAAGTTAAAGTCTGACCATGAAATTCCCTTGCTGAGTAAACTTTAGGGACTTCCATTGCCTCTAGACTAAATACAAACTCTTCAACTCAGCATATAAAGCCTCATACAATCTGGCTGCCACTCATCTTTTTTTCTTTAAGTTTTATTGATGTCCTTTGATTGTACAGCACAGATTTTTCTGCATATGACTCTCTCCTCCATTTTAAACCATCCCTTGTTAACAAAATGAAATTAACAAAACCAACTGAGAGACTGCCTAGATAGTTCATGTTGCTTTTCTTTATACACTCTTCATTCCAGCCAAATTGACCTACCAGCTGGTCCCCAAATTCAACATTCCATTTCCCATTTCTGTGCCCTTGTACTGGTTGTCCTCACCAGAAAGTCTCACCTCTCATAAAATCTTTTCCTTCCTC